GGCACAATCACAGCTCACTGCAGCCTGGAACTCCAGGTCTCAAGCCATCCTCCCACCCCAGTCTCCTGTAGGTGTATGCCCATAGCACCTAGCTAATTTTTTTCATATTTTTGAAGTAACAGGGTCTTGTTTTGTTTTCTAGGCTAGTCTCAAACTCTTGGCCTTAAGTAATCCTGACTTGGTCTCCCCTACACTGGGATTATAGGCATGGGCAACTGTGCCCAGCAGCCACTTGTCGCTTTCTTTAAAGGAAGCATCTTATTCTCAACTTCTTGGACATCTCCACTGAAAGAACTTCCATAAATCATGAATGGTATTTATTTCTCCTAACCTTCTTACCCATCCTTGTCCTAATGACAAACTTGTCTTTTTCTCTGGTATCTATTTTGGCCAGCGTGTCTTCTTCTTCTTCTTCGTCTTTTTTTTTTTTAATTTTAGACAGTCTTAAGCTTTGTTACCCTCGGTAGAGTGCTGTGCTATGCCATGGAGTCATAACTCACATCAACCTCAAACTCCTGTGCTTAAGTGATCCTTTTGCTTCAGCCTCCTAAGTAACTGGGACTACAGGAATCTGCCACAATCTGCCATCCGCCTGGCAATTTTTTTATAAACAGGGTCACACTCTTGCTCAGGCTGGTCTTCAACTCCTGAGCTTATGTGATCTACCTGCCTCGCCTTCCCAGAGTGCTGAGATTATGGGCGTAAGACATCATGCCCAACCCTCAGCCAGTTTTTCTATCACTCTTCTAACCTCTATAGTTGGAAATCTTAGAACCATTTTTGAATTTCCTTCTCCTTCAAGTCCCCATATAAAGCATATCACCAAATCTAGTATTATAACCTTGGAAAAATCTCTTGGGTTTCCTTTTTTTCCCATTATTTGGTATTAGTCAAATTATGTCCCTCATTACCTCACATCTTCATGATTACAGACACTGCTTATTTTGTCTCTGTTGTTTCTATCTATCCAATAATTTTCATCTCTTACTAAAAACTATTGCTATAATCCCAGTCCTTTTGTCAGTTGCCCTCTATTTCTTTGCTTCCCTGTAGAGCAAAACTCTAAAATTTGTTCATTGACACTTTTCCTCCCTTTTTTTCTTACACTCCCTTTAACTCATGTTTTTCTCACCATAATCTCCATATTGAGATCATGTACTTATCTTACTTATTAACAGCACTTGAGAAAACTGATCACTGTCTTCTTGTTTTACTTTATTTGGTAGTAAGCATGTCTCAGTATTGATTTTCCCTCTATCTCCCTGATCATTCCTTTTCAGTCTGCATTGCTCAATCTTTTTCTCCTGAACCTATTAATACTGACTACCCAAGATCAATTCTTGGTCCTCGTCTCTATTTGTCCTTCCCTTGGTGGGCTAATCAAATCTTATGGGTTTTATGTTTGTTTGTTTGGTTTTGAGACAGGTTGCCCAGGCTAGAGTGTCACGGGGTCAGCCTAGCTCAAGGCAACCTTAAATTTCTGGGTTCAAGTTATCCTCTTGCCTCAGCCTTCCAAGTAACTGGGACTACTGGAGCCCAAGACAAGGCCTGGCTCATTTTTCTACTTTTTTTTTTTTTAGTGGCGATGGGGTCCTGCTCTTGCTCAGGCTGATCTTGAACTCCTACCAGGGATCCTCAAACTTTTTAAATAGGGGGCCAGTTCACTGTCCCTCAGACTGTTGGAGGGCCAGACTGCGGGCCCCAGGACAAGTTGGCTGCTAAGCAGGACAGGTACTGGCGGCAAAAATACCTGGTGGGCTGGATAAATGTCCTTGGCAGGCCGCATGTGGCCTGTGCGCCGCACTTTGAGGACCCCTCAAGTGATCCTCTTGCCTCAGCATCCCAGAATGCTAGGATTATAGGTGTGAGCCCCTGTACCTACCCCAAATCTCAGTTTTAAGTATCATTTATGTGCTGACAATCCCAAATTTATATCCCTAATTCAAACATGTTTCTGGGCTCAGACCTCCACTTAGACCAGATTAAGTGCCTTTTAAAATCAACACATAATACATGGCCCTGTGTTTTCATCAGCCATCTTCTTTGTTTTTTAAAATTTTAAAATAAGACCTAATCTTGCTTTCTCACCCAGGCTGGAGTGCAGTGGCACAATCATAGCTCATTATAGCCTTGAACACCTGTGCTCAAGCAATCCTCCCACTTCAGCCTTCCAAGTGGCAAAGACTACATGCATGAGTCACCATGCCCAGCTAATTTTTAAACTTTTTATTTTACTTTTTGTAAATTTTAAAATCTTAAAATTTTTCTGTAGAGACAGTGTCACATTGTGTTTGTTGCCCAGGCTTGTCTCTAATCCCTGGCCTCAGACAATTCTCCTGCTTCAGCCTCCCAAGGTGCTGGGAGTACAGGTGGTACCCCAGCACCTGGTAGAATTATTTTAAAATAAATTTCCTCCAGGTTAAATAAGTACACGAGTGAGAAGTAACAGCTGTTCTGATGTTAACAATTGTGATGGGGAGACTAGGTCAGTGAAGAAAAGGAAACTCTGCTAGGCTGTGGGTCCTACTTATTTGTGTGATTGGTTGAGAGAACTCTTGACTTTGAACAAGGAACTGAAGATAAGAACCTTTTATCTATTAGCATGAGTCCAGGGGGAGCTTAACACAGGGCTGTATGTATTACAACTATAGATAGCTTCCATACTTTGTTAGGGTATGTTAACTCAGGACTTGAGTGAGAAGATCTGGGAGATAGGTTGTCCATTATGTTCTACACAAGATGTTTATTTTTTATTTTATTAATTTATTTTTTGGGAGTCTCAGTGAGTTACGCTGGGTAAAGTACTGTGGCGTCACACAAGCTCACAACAACCTCAAACTCCAGGGCTCAAGCAATCCTATTTGCCTCAGCCTCCCAAGTAGTTGGGACTATAGGCGCCTGCCACAGCGCCTGGATAGTTAATGCCTGGCTAGTTTTTTTTTCTGTTTGTACTAGAGACAAAGTCTCAGATCTCGGTCAGGCTGGTCTTGAGCTCCTGAGCTCAAGCAATCCACCCAACTTGGCCTCTCAGAGTGCTAGGATTACAGGCCTGAGTCATCGTACCTGGCCAGAAAATGTTCATTTTTAATGACTTGATAAGAGTGCTTGTACAACTAGGCTTCAGAGGGTACAGATAAACAATTTTGCCTGTCCTTCATTTTTTCTAGCTAACTTAGATGTTTAGAATAATTCTCAAGTATATCTCAATAATTGTCTATGGTCATTCTAAAAAGTAGTATTCTGATCACAGACAGAATTATTAGTTGAAAGGCATGATAAGCATCTTAGCTTTCCCACAGTTCCAATTTAGATAAATATTTCTTTTTTAATTTCTTATTAGTATCTTAATATCCAACTTATAGCATGCTCTGTTTTTAGTTCTCTTGGAAAACTCTCTACCATGTAGAAAGGAAACATAAATAAAACAAAATATTTCCTTTGTACCCCTCACATTTCCCAGCATAGTACTCTGCATACACTAATTATTCAATGATTGTTGATAAATGAAATAATGAATTAATGAGTATTACATAAAGGAGGCAGCAACATTAAAAACAAATCTATTTTGTGACTTAAAAACTATATGCTGCTCATATTGAAATTGTGTAAGACAAAAAATATAGGGTGATATACCATCGGCATCACAACTATTGGAGGGCTAAATGAAAGAAGAGCAACATTCATGCATTAAAAAGGACCTTTATAAAAAAAGAACAGTGACATGAAAACTCCAGTTCATAAACTTTTAAAGTCAATTAAGGTTCTGCTTTAGTAGAGTGATTGTATAGATGATGAAGAGGAAATAAAGATATAAGATTCATCTGATTCAGTTGAATAGAGTATACGTGTAAAATACTGTAATAGATTTTTTAAAAGTATGAGATTATATGAGATGAAGATTAGTTACACAGGTACTGGGAATATAAGAAAATCTGATGTTTATATGTTAGTTTTGGAAGAGGATTGACATTTTACCATATTTTGTGATATTTAGATTTATCATGTAAGAAAATAACATGTCTAGTACTGGAGAGACTAATAGTTTCATTTTTATGCATTTATTCTGCCACTATTGATTCCCTATTAGTTTACATGGGGGAATGTTTAACATTTCATTCCTAAACATGTTTACAAGATTTTTTACCTGATTTTTTTGAAGGTTAGCTTCTTCTAAGAGTTGCATACTATTTCGGGCTCTTGTAATAGCCTCAAATTTCTCATTTTCTAATTCATTACACGTTGCCTGTAGGTCTCTGGTATGTTTTTCCAGGTGTGTTTTTTCTGCTCTTAATTGGTTGGCCTCTTGGATTTCCACACATAATCTAGAAATTAATCATCACATTGTGAAAGTTAAATATTTTTAAAGGGAAGGAGAAAAATAAGATATTTACTGAGCAACTATTATAGGACAGGCATTTTATAAGTCTTATACAGTACAAGTAACTTTTTGCATGTACCATTTCATTTGATCCTCACCATAGTTCTCTAAAGTAAGTTTTATTATCTCCATTTTAAAGAACAGCCATACTGAGAGAGGTAAAGCATTTGATTGAGGTCACATAGCTAAAGAGCAGGGGGTTGAGACTGAGGCTGAATATTGTGAGTCTAACTATGTTACACTTGGTATGATGTCACACTGTATTACATAGTTACATGGCAATGTTATAAGCAAATCCTTAAGAAATGAGTTGTTCTATACGTTTATATGGTCTTTCTTTTCTTTTTCTTTTTTGCTTGGCTCCCCATTCCTCTCTCTCTATCTCAGGCAACAGATGTTAATTTAGATACAATAATGTATATCTTTAAATATTTTTCTCCATGTTCATATAATCTCACACACATGTGCACACACATATATACGTGTATATACACATAAAAATGAATACAAATAAATACACAGTATATATACAGCTTTTCATAGGACTTTTTTTGTGTTATAAAAATTAAAACATTGTATAAACTCTTTTCTGTACTCGCTTGTCTCATTCAGTAATATCCTATAGAAAAGTCTGATGGCTATAACTTCATTTCACTGTTAATCTACATTTGCCTGACTACTACAGAGTTTAAGCATAAACTCTTACATGGATTTCGCTTTTTGAGTTTCCTCTTCATCTCCTCTGCACATATTTCCTGATCAGTTGTTTACCTTATTCATCCCTTTATAAGAACTCTGAGTATCAGAGGTATTAACTCTCTTCTGTCCTTTATGCTTGCAGATATTTTTCCAAACCTACTGTTTCCCTGTTGTCTACTGACTCGATTTCGGGGATATTTACCACACTAACAATCTGATACAGCTAAACTTGATAATTTTTTTCAATTTTTTTTATTTTAGTTTTTATAAAGATGGTCTCCTTCATCCATAGATTATTATTATTGTTATTATTTTATATATATGTATTTTTTTTTTGAGACAGCGTCTCAAGGTGTTGTCCTGGGTAGAGTGCCGTAACATCACAGCTCACAGAAACCTCAAACTCTTGGGCTTAAGTGATTCTCTTGCCTCAGCCTCCCAAGTAGCAGGGACCACAGGGGCCCACCACATACCTGGCTATTGTTATTGTTTTGGTGTTTGAATCCGGGCTGGATTGGAACTCACCACCTCTGTTGTACATGGCTGGTGCCCTAGCCACTTGAGCTACAGGCACCCAGCCCATCCATAGATTATTAATGTAATCTCCTAGATTTCCTCAAAAGATTGATACAACTTTATATTTTTACCTTTAAATCTTTAATCCATCTGGAATTTACTTCTGAATATGGTATAAGAGAGGAATCCAATGTAAGTTCCAGATTGATGGCCAGTTGTATGAATACCATTGAAATACTCTTGTTATCATCCCCCAAATACACAAATATCATAATTTACTTATGGATTATCATGTTTTATTGCCCTATTAGCCAAATCTATGCTCAACTCACATTGTTTAAAGTAGCGTTATTCTGATATTCTGATATTTTCCGGTAAGACATACTTCATACTTTTGTTATGTTCAGGCACTTCTTTATTCTAAGTGGTAGGAAAAGAATCATTCTATACACCTTCTCTCCTACTACCTACATCCAAATACTCCTCCTGCCACTGGAGTGGCTTATTTTCTCATGGTTTTGGTACTTGTGATAAAGTTGTGTTTAATCTGTGGGAATTCTGAGCAGCTTAACTTAGAAAAATGTTCAACTTATAAAAATGTTTATTTTAATTTATCATCAAGATGTTGATGATGAAGAGGATTTTACCAGAATATTTAGTCTGCCATTGTGTTATGGACTAGTCTGCACATTTATTATGAACCATTTTGTTCTTCTCCACATCTAGCCCGTGGTACTAAGCTGTCGGTCCACCCATATATTTGCCTCAAACCTTGAGAACAGACATTAGTGGTAAAATACATCTGCTATACCTGGCTTCTGTTCTTCCTATTGGACTTCACCTGAGTCCTGTGCTCCCAGGAAAACAGAGATGGCTAAAAACTCCACCCTTGTTTTCTAACCTCCCCCCAATCCTTTTGTATTCCAGAAAAGAATTAACAGCAAAAAAACAACTCTGCCCTCGCATATTCCAAGATAAGATACACCTCCATCCTTCCTCATAACTCCTCTAAGACTCACGCATGCCTCACTTGATAATCTGCCTATATAGAACCTCAGGCTCCTTCCTTTTCTTTGAAATATTCCTCACTAATGGACATTCTTCATACCGCAATAGCTTGAATAAAATCATCTCCTAAACTATCTCGTATATTTGATCTTTTACAGTACTAAAGAGTCCCTTAAACTATCCAACTAAATATTTAAAGGAAAGAAAATTTTAATTAAATTCTATTTTCAGTTACTTTCATATTACTCCCTTTCAAGCTCTCAAACACATATACACACATACACTCTATTATAGCCCAGTTTTTTAAACTATCTGCCTAGGAAGTAGATATTTGCTGAAGAAAAAGAGAAAGTGATCTGGATTCTAACTGAATGATGTATAAATCTCAATGTATTCTTTAGAAAATATGGGTGAAATTTCAAACATTAATTCAGGTTGATAGTAGACTCACACTGGTGAATAATTCTTTTTCCCTAAGATTTTAAGTAGGTGAATGATGGAAGTTAGAAGGCAGTAGGGGTGATTATACAATATAAGTACAAGATGCCTATCTAACAAGCTGCATTCTAAATTTTTACTTATCTTTTAAAAACCCTGTTTTTAAGTGTATCCATGGGTGAATTTTCCCTACTGAGGATAACGCAAAACAATGTAGTGAACATTTAAATGATATTTATATTTCAGAACATCCCTTGCATTCTTTAAAATAAATAAGTATAATATAGTTTAAAAACTTTTTTGTCAAGTATGGAGATGATTAGATGTCACCAGATACTGATCACCCCGGTACCCCAGAACCTAAAACACTGACAGGTATACAGTATACAGTAGGTGCTCAACATATGTTGAGTAAATAAAGCTTCACCTGTGTATATGGAAGTCCTTCTCAGGAGAGTCTTAAAAGATTTTTTTCTCCTGATAATGCATAGAAAATCATTTCTGGTCACACTGGCATATATTTCAGTCTTCCGCTAGACCTTTTCCCACTACTCTTGTTCAACAGGCATAGGACTAGGAGGTCCAAATGTGCTTTGCATATGCCTCCCTTATCCTGCCCAAAACAAAATTAATAAAAACTATTATAACTTTATTTCAGTTCTTTTATTTTCTTCTCACAATTTATCGATTCCTTCAATGTTCAAACTTATCCCCCTCTATTTTAGTCATGTTAAATCTTACAAGGTAAAACTCTTAGCAGAAAAAAAAGCATTTTAAAGTAGGGGGGGCAGGCATATATTGTCAACTTTATTACAACCAAATCAAATGAAAAAATTTTATTAGAACAAAATAAAATCATAAAGCACATGGAAAATGTCTGTTTCTTATTTTGTATTATTTTAACATGAGCCAATGTAAACACTTAAAGGAGTGCTTTGATAAAAATATAAAAATTACAAATATTGATATATACCCATCAATCTTTTAAAATCATTTTAGGAGCTATGATTTAAAAACTCAATCATTAAAGTGAAATTTGTGGGAAGGGAGATGAAAGAGATGAAGTAAATTTTTATCGTAAGCATAATGGATATCACTAACCCAGGAATACTCAACTGATCTATAAAACAAAATCTCTTTTTAGCACTGTGTTAAAATTACCTCCTTGTTTTAGAAAAGGACAAATATTTATTCTTTCTACCTAATACAAGGTCCACAATCTAGTTTCAAATCATGTCGCTCAGCTTTCACAAAGAAAAGAAATTTTTTAAAAAGAGCATCAAGTGAATCATTTTTACATATCAGTGTCCTACATTCAGTGGTTTGCAACTATGATGGTACTAGCATTTAAGATCCCTGGGGACATTCTGGTGGCTATAATGATAGGAGGTGCAATTAGAATCTAGTACATTTGGTTCCAGGAATGCTAAATATTCTGTAATTATTGGCACAGTTCTCAAACAACTAAGAACTAAGAAGTAAATAACTCAAAAGGCAGAACTGGTGGAAAAAACATGGCACCACCTACTGATCATCATGAGGGCAGAGATCAGTGATTGGAAAAGGGATTTGAAGGGCCACTGGAGGTAAGAATTCCCAAGAACACAAGGAAAGAAGAATACTGGGGAGCAGGAAGCACTAGCTCTCTTGGGCATAATTGGCATATGTCAGAGAAGTCTGTAGTCTGAAGATTTATCTTCAATCTTGTTGGTCTCTCGGGTCTCTCTCTCCTGGGAAACCAACAGGATTGAAGATAAATCTTTAGACTAAAGACTTCTCTGACATATGCCTATTATGCCCAAGAACCAGTCAGCTCTTGGAGCTAATCATTCTTACAAGGTTTATGGTTCATGATTCTCAGGAAACAATTTTTAAAAATAACATTCTTCACCTTTCTTTGACTTGTTTCAATGGTTTATTTCTACTGTAACTGCATTATTTGTAAGAGAATAGTATTACGGAGAAGTTGAGAGAGTAGCAAATTTCCTCTGACACTACTGATTTTAACTTTTTTTTGGAGATAGCGTCTTGCTTTGTTACCCGGGCATGATCATAGCTCAACACCAACCTTAAATGCCTGGGCTCATGTGATCTGCCTCGGACTCCTGAGTAGCTGGTATTACAGGGATACCATCACTCCTGGCTATTTTTCTATTTTTTATAGAGGTAGCATCTCTCTTTGTTGCTTAAGCTGGTCTCAAACTCCTGACCTCAAGCAATTCTCCCACTTCAGTTGCCTAATATGTTAGGCAGGATTACAGGCATGAGTCACTGTGTCTGGCATTTTAACTGGTTTTCAGAAGAAAGACATTAGACTTCTGAAGAAACTAGGTTCACTCCAAAATCTGTGGGGTGACCTCAAGAGAAATAAAAATAAAAGTGGGCTTTGTGCTGCAGTACTTAACACAAAAGCCATGATTATCAAAAGTTTTATTCCATTCCAAAAAAGTACTAGACTAAGTTTGGATCAAATGTTTGGTTCCAAATTTATGATTATAAATTAATATACTTAGTAAGGGTCTAAAAAACTCCTATTAAACAAATTATCTTTAAACATATGTTCAAAGTGTAATAATCTATTAATATAATTTTTTTTTTTTTTGAGACAGAGCCTCAAGCTGTCACCCTGGGTAGAGTGCCATGGCATCACAGCTCACAGCAACCTCCAACTCTTGGGCTCAAGCGAGTCTCCTGCCTCAGCCTCCCAAGTAGCTGGGACTACAGGCGCCCACCACAACACCTAGCTATTTTTTGGTTGCAGCCATCATTATTGTTTGGCGGGCCCGGGCTGGATTCAAACCCACCACCTTAGGTGTAGGTGGCTGGCGCCCTAGCCACTTGAGCCACAGGTGCCGAGCCTATTAATATAATTTTTAATAAATAATATCTATAAAATCAAAATTTAAACCTATGACCATAGTTTTGATTTAGTACTTATAAAATATATATTGAGTAAATATCACAAACTGAAACTCTATTGTGTAACATTTTGAAGTATATTGAAAGGCTAGATGTATTTCACAATTTACCTTGTTTCTAATTGTTTTATACTAGTTTGTAATTGCTGTACACGCCTATCTGATGCTTCCTCTCTTCCTTGGGCAGACATCATATCCTCCTCCTAGAAAATAAAAAAACTAGAAGCTTACTTTGAGTATGTGAAAATTTAGAACACCATCATATAACATAAAAAAGAAAAATAGTTCATGCTATAAAGTTGTTACGCTGCTAGATCTCTAACATGTAAGCTTAAAGAAGCAGTATGACTTTGGAAACAAAGCATTTGTATAACAAAAATGGGGGACTTCAATATTAATCCTATATTAGACAAACAATAATCAAGATAGTTAATGCACATAGGTTTCTGTCAATATTTCAAACTATTAATATTTCTATAGTGTAAGGCTAACAAACCAAGAGAGGGATTTCTATGCAGATAGTGTACATTTAGAACATGTTTCTTAACTATGTTATACTACTTCTCATTATCAAGCAAGATAATCACAGGGTCTCCTTTGATACAGTGTGATGGCTTGAAAATATTAACAGATTTTATTTGTATCATCTTTCTAAAAAAATTTCTTATTCATCCTGTCCTGCCTTCTTTTGTGTTAACAAATGTTCTTTATGATACCATTTTATTTTATTTTTTATTTATTTATTTTTTCTTGAGCCAGAGTCTCACTATGTTACCCTCAGTAGAGTACTGTGGCATCACAGCTCACAGAAACCTCAAACTCTTAGGCTCAAGCCATTCTTTTGCCTCAGCCTCCCAAGTAGCTGGGACTATAGGGGCCCACCACAGTGCCTGGCTATTTTTTTGTTGTTGTTGTTGTTATTGTTGCAGTTGTCATTGTTGTTTAAGCTGGCCTGGGCCAGTTTGGAACCTGCCAGTCTCGGTGTATATGGCGGGTGCCCTACACACTGAGCTATGGTGCTGCCCTGTGATACCATTTAAATTTTTTTTATTTTTTTCAAGATAGGGTCACTATGTTGCCCGGGCTGATCTTGAGCTCCCGAGAGTAAGTGATCCTCCTTCCTCAGTGTCCTGAGTAGCTGGGACTACAGGCATGTACAACTATCTAATTTAATGATGCCATTTAAATTCCTCTATTCCTTCTAGCTGTATTGCTTTGAACTTTTTTTTTTTTAGTGACTGCTGTAGATCTTTAATTTATCTTAATTAATTTAGAATATTTAATTAATTCAGAGAAAACACTGGAATCTTTCAACAATGTATTTCTATGAACTATCCCAGTTCTTAGTGCCACTGTTGTTGTATATTACATCTGAATACTTTACAAATCCATCAAATCTAGCATTATAGGTTCTTCTATAAGCAATCATGTCTTTTAAAGATATTAAAAGAAAAATATGTACATATGTTATTTCATAATTATCATTTCTGTTGCTTTTAATATCTTCCTATATCTGAGTTGCCATCTGGTGTCATTTCTTTTCAGCCTAAAGAATTTCCATCAGAATTTTTTTGAAATACAGGTCTGCTAGGGACAAATTCTCTCATTTTTTACTTGAAATGTAATGCCTTCATTTTTGAAATACAGTTTCTGAATATAGAATTCTTGGTGAGCATTTTTTTTCTTTACCATTTCAATATATTATTCCAGTGTTTTCTACTTCTGCAGTTTCCTGAGAAGTAGGTCATTAATCTTACTATTTTCCTGTTCAGATTATTTTTCTGTTGTTAGTTTCAAGTACTCTCTTTATAATTGATTATCAGGATCATCATGGTGCATTAAAAGTAATTTTGTGTTTATTCTACTTGGAGTTTGCTAAGATTAATGTTTTCCACCAAATTTAGGAGTTTTCAGACAAGATCAGGAGCATTCAGGGTGGTAAGGCCATAGACAGATTTAGAAAGTTTTCAAACACTATTTCTTTTCTTTTCTTTTTTTTTTTTT